TTACTAAGGACATAAATATAATATAGTAAAAGGTTATTAATAAGAAAAATAGGATTAAGATAACCGGCCTATTTACTTCTATCAATAATATTAATTATAAATCCCCCCCTCCCTCTAATATTATTACTATTTATAAAGAGGGTTATAGGATTTTCTTTAAATCTGCCCCGGATATAGACCTTCGGAAAATAATATTCGAAGGAGTTATTTTCTATATTATTAAAGAAATTAAATTCCTTTACTAATATATTAAGAAGATCTACCTAATATAATTTGGATTTTATATTAAAGCTATTACCCCCGATTAATAATTTACCTTTATTAAATTTAGTAAAAAAATCCTATATTACTAGATTGAATTCGAAATTAAATTAGTATTGTACTACTTTATAAGCGTCCCCTTTAAATTCTTTGCCTATAATAGCGTTTATAATACGGAATTATATATTAAATAGGAAGTTTTTATTACTATTAAATAATAAATTAAAATTATTAAAATTAAGACCCTTAATAATTATATTATTATCTTCTTAAAGAAAATATAATTTTTCTAAATTTTTAATTCTAAGTCAGCCTATATAATAGAATGGAACCTATAAATTAATACCTATGAACGATATTTTGGTTTATACTATACTATTAAATATATTTTTACTTTAATTTATAAAGAGTATAATACCCCCTCTATTATTTATTAGGATATATATAAATTAATCTCCTAATACCCTAATTATTTAAGCCCCCTTTAATTTAGTTATTCTAATTGCCTAATCTTCCCTAAAATTAAGAATAATTATATTATTAAATTTATATTGGAATAATATTCTAGTACTTATAAAGTAAGTAAGGCAGTTAATAAGGCGGTTATTTACGAATTTAAAAAAGTAAGGGAAGCGGACGCGGATATTATAATTTAGGAGGCTATTATAATTAATAAAAATAATAATACTTCCTTTAAGGATTTACCCCCCATTAATACCCCCGAACCTAGCCCTACCCTAATTATAATTACCTTATCTCCTTAATTAATTCTAACCTAACTATCCCTTTATTTTAATACCCTACCTCCGTTTATAATTATATTTATATTAGCCCTATCTCTTAATTTAAAAATAATATATATTAAAGTAGTAGTATAGAAGGAGATTAATAGGCAGTACTTTAATTTATTAAGTATAGAAGGCTATAGCGCCTCCTTCTCTTTTAATTAACCCCCTCCTACTCTTTATATTAGAGTGCTTTCTATAAGTAGAGGTTCCTCTAATAATAATAGGACTCTAACCAAAATTTAAAGTAATTTCTTTAAAGGACGTTTCCTAATAGCCGCTATCTGCCCTTAAACCCCCTCCTAATTATTTTAGCCTTATATAAATAATAAAAACGCTAAAGAATAACCTATATCCCCCCTTACCTTTACCCTATAATAGAAGAATTTAAAATTATATTTATTAATATTTAAAAGTCCCTAGCGAATATTAATAATATATTCGAATAGATAATTAATAACTAGATTCTAATAATCTATATTTAAAAGCCCCTAATTATTCAAAGCCGACTCTATAAGTACCCCGGTTTTTATATTATTAAGTTTAATAACTATAATATATATATAATAATTTATATTATAAAAACGTATTAATTTATAATTATTACTACTCTTTTAATATATATTATTACTACTTCGGTTTAAGGCGCCGATATTACTAACGTATATTAATACCTATAGGATAAATGAATAGAACCTATTAAAATATATTTACCGGAAGCCCTAATATTCTATTTATTTATTATTAGAAATTTTAATATATATTATTATATATAAGATCCCTACTTTTATAATTCCCCCTACGGTATTAAACTTAATAATTTTATAATTATATTCGGCCTCTACCTCTTTAATACCCCGGGCGTACTTATTTATAAATATATTTAAAGCGAATTTATTATAAATTTAGCGTTCGGTATAAATAGAATATATATAAAAGTTGGGGTATAAATATTAAACTATAAGAAACTTATTATTACTATTCCTATTATTAAAATTACCCTACCCCCTTAAAAATACCTTTTACCTCTAGAATAGATAAATAATACTATTTTAGTACTTATTAAATAATTCCTATAATAACCCTTAATCCCTTCTATAGTAATAGAATTTAATAAATTTATTTAAATATTTATAAATACCTTTAAAGGTACAATTAGGGAATATTCTATTCTAATTAGAGGATAGTCTAAGAATATACTATAATAGAATCCTTCTTTAATTAAAATAAAAGAGACTAACCTAGCGGTATACTATAAGGTTTATAGAAAAACCCGTACGTCCTTCTATAAGGATAGGATTAATAATACTAAATCCTTTAAAAATTTAAATAATATTTTAAAATAGAAGAATAATTTACTAAACGACCGATCTATATTAATTAATATATTAGAATGAAAATTCACCTACCTAGAAGAAATTATAATATATTTAATATATACAACCTTCCGCCCTCTAAATAAGGACGCCCTTCTTTTATATAACTATAAAAATAATATTCTTCCTCCAAATATTATTATATAAGCCCTAAAACCGCTATTAGATAAGGAATTCTAGGAAGTTTTCTTATATTATAAATTTAATATTCTAAGCCCGGATAAAATTACCCTTAATACCCTAAAAACTATATAAAACGCAATCCTCCCTTACCTTAGGGTAATTATATAAGCTTCCTTCTATTTAAATAAATTCTTAACCCTATTTAAAAGGGTAAAGGTCGTTACCCTCTCTAAACCCAGCCGGGACCTATATAATTATAAGGGCTAACGATTTATAGCCCTCCTCTCTACTATCAATAAAAGTATTAAGAAATTTATAATTTATAGAATAATAATAATAACCTTTAATATAAATTTTATTCTAAGGGACTCCGTAGGAGCCTTTTCAATACAATTAATTATAGACCTAATTATTATATTTATTTATAATATAGAAGGGGTTAACCGCTTTAATTAATATAATATAATCCTTACTTTTAATATCGATTCAATTTTCCTATTTATTAAAATAAATAAATTTATTAAAATTCTTAAAGGTTAGAGATAGCCCCCGACCCTTACTAACCTTATTTATAACTTTTATATAAATAGGAGCTTCGTTTTCTAATAAATAAATAATAGGTTTTATATTTATAATAACCTCCTATAGGGTTTACTATAATCGCCTATACTTTTTCTCCTTTTTATTATATTATTCCCTAAAAGAATATAATGGCCCGCTTTCTCCTATACAAACGATATCGCCTACTTTACAATTAGTAGAAACGTAATATAAATCTTCTATATAACGATCCGCCGGGCTACTAATTTATATAAATATATAGTAGCCCTAAATTTTAAAATCGATTATAAAAAAACGGAAGCCTTCTACCTTCTATTTAAAAGTAAAAATATAAAGAAAATTTAGCGTAACCCCGCCTATATTATTATTAATATTTTAATAAAGTAAGTCTGCTTATAAAAAGAAATAAGATAATTCAACGTCTATTTAAATACGAAACTATCCCTAACTACCTAAATTTATAAAAAGGTCTTTAAAATAATAATAATTATTAATTTCATAGCCCGAAATAATTAAATCTCTTATAGTATACTATTTAATTCCTTAAAATATATTTTCGTTATATATTTCCTCCCTACCCTTATTTATAGTATAATTACTCTCTTTTTAAGCTTTTATAAATTAGGGACTAAAGGGATACTAATATCTACTAATATTTCGTCTACGCTCTATAAATTAGAGATAGCTATTTCTAAAGCCCTCTATAAAATAATACTTATTTAGCGTACTATCTTTAAATAAATTTCCTTCTAACTATTTAATATTATACTAATAGAAATCCTAGGACGAAAGGTATTTAAAACTATAGCCTACCTATATACTCTACTAAGTAATTCTTCCTTTATTTAATATTTTAAATATAACCCCCTCTAAAGATAATTATAATTATATTCCCTTATAGATTTATAAGTACCTTCCGAAGAACCCTCTAATAAATTCTACCTCCTCCGCCTCTCCGCCCTATAATAGTAATTCGCACTTAAAGTAGCCCCCCTACTTAGAATAAAGGGGAAATAAATTCTATTATTAAAAATTAATTTAGAACTTTACTAAACTATAAATAAGTTAGGGTACTTAACGGACCTCCCCTAGTATAAATATAACCCCTACTTTATACTCCTCCGGTTATACTTCGCCTAATAAATTAATAAAAGAATAAGATATTAGGACTTCTATTTATATTACAAACAATTCTACTACCTTTAAAAGGCGTTTAAATATTATATATATAGCGCTTTACAAAAAAAAAGTCACTTTTTTACCTACTTAATTATTATTTACCGTAACCCTAATACGGTGGTAGATACCCTATAGGCGTTTAATATTAATTACGCTATATTTATTATAAGAATAAAAGCTTTAAAAGATTAGGAATATATAAGGATTTAAATAATAGGAGGAGGATAAAGCTATAGAGGAATAAGGGTAGTTAAAATAGAAATATTTAACTTAAATAACGTACTTATTCCTTTCAAGGAGGTATATACACTATTAGGGTTAGGGGGTTTGGAGTAGATAGTCTAATTAGGATAGGATATATAAGGGTTTTTCCAGCGTACGGATAGGATAGGGTTCGACCGTCCTCCCTATAAGGCTTTTTTTCCCGCTTTTTATACCTTTGCCACGCCGTCGTCGCAAGCACGACTTATTATCTCTCGGTAATAGAACGTAGTCGAAAAATACATTCATTCATTCATTTACGACTCCTCCCGTCTCTAGCCATAAAGGTATTTCACAGCAAGTCCCCAGTCGATGGCATCATCGCAGCGGCATCGTCGACCATTGCTCGTTGGTTCTTGACCAATTCCATAGGTACCACACAATTCCAAATTCATTCGGCTGCATATCATTGTCTCCTCCTCTGCGTCTAAATGTTCATCTTAAAAAGACAGTCGTCCACTTCTCAGAACTTCCACACAACTTCAGCACCATTATTGTTCAGACTCCCATTTGACCACTTGAAGTGATTTATTGATTCCTCTACCCTTTACGCTATCCCACAACCCAAGCCGCGCCTTTACCAGCCCCACGATGGCTCTTCCTCCAAAGTTCGCCGGCCACCGTTTCATCCCCACCGAGGGAGCCGGTGCTAGCTCTTTTCCTACCCAGCCACTCCACACCGTCGAGATCTTTCTCGACTACGTTTGTCCTTTCTCAGCTAGTAAGTCACATTCTCCAACCCAAACCATCCATCCATCCATTCATCTTTCCATACATGCTCTTCCAAAAAAAAAAAAAAA